CTTCCATCTCAAGAGGGTGTTCACATCTTGGAACATCCCCACTATGAGCCTTGGTGGTTGACTGGAATGCTACAGTTAAGGACTTAAATAAGGTACAGACTTGGTCTCCAACCTAAGATTTTTTATGCTCTAATTTTAATATGAATTAAATATACTATGGCACTACCACAATCACCATATCAAATGTCATTTGATTTGCATCAGTTAGTTTAGTGTGTAACTTAATTCAATCCTCTTTTTCATTTTTAACAGAAACAGAAAGTGGGAGAAAATGCAGTTCCCGGACAGTGGTAGAACTGTTTTTCAAGCATGATGACTTCATGTTAAGCTTTTAAATCTAGTGGCCAATAATGGATATAGGACTTCCATTTTGGTAAATGAAAAAGTAACAAGAAAAATGAAAGTAAAAAGAGAAAACAAACAGCAGCCAATTTCAAATGGTCATTTATTTAGTTTTGACAAAATGTTTCAAAAAACTACCGAATTATTCAAGAAAATTTAAATAAAATTTTATTCTTCAATTACTTTTAATAAAATTTTTATATTTTCTTAATAATTAGTCAAAATGATATGTTATTTTATACTTATATGTGAAAATGATGTGATATAATTATTAAATAATTATGTTATTATGTCACATCAATATCTTTTATGATATATCAATATATTACATCAGTATTATGCATAGTAATATCAAAATAACATGATTCATGATTAGGGCTTTGTAGGTATGGTTTCTAGGTCTTATAGGTTTCATGATTTGGAGCTTGGATTTGCAAATGTATGGCTCTGCAAGTTGATTGATCATTTTTGCCCAGGATTTGCCTGCTGGAACTTTGAGCTGCAAATTGTTTTTGTGATACAGCTAGTGAACGTTTTGAGCTTTCACCGCGGTTATTTCTTTTGTAATTGAACAGGTTTTTTCATGCCCTAACCAAGTTTCTATGCCATGGAAAGTCTTATGCTAAATATTCTTGAGAATTGGAACGGCACTTGGTTGTTAAGGCCAATAAATTCACCTTTCGAAAAGAAAAAAAAAACATGATTCATTTTGATCTGCCACAACTAATCAACAATTAGATATAAAGACACATATACTTGGTCTATAAATTTAAATATAAGGATTTGATTGAATGTAGTAAAAAATAAGAGTTTATTTAAATTTTTTTTAATTAATTCAAAATTTTTTGAAGTATTATGCCTTTTATTCTTCTACTAACTTCCTGGAAAAAGGGGTTTGGAGCACTTGACATAGGCAAATGTTGCTTCACTAAGCTTTCCCAAAAAAATATTAACAATTTCTATCATCCAATGGGACTTCACCTTTGTCACTTTCTCATGTACAAAGTATTCTCAGACCCAAATCTAAAGATCGGAGGAGGGTGATTTGCTAGTCAAAGTGCATTTCTGAATGTTATCCAACTTGATTCACAAGAACAGTTAATATATAACAAGCCAGCCACAATGAATATCTTCCATTTGCCACCTTAGTTTTGCTTTTGCAACTTACTTAAAAACATTAGCATCCATTGTTTTAATTAAAAAAGTTGTAATGTACCCTCCCTGATATATGTATGAATCAACTGTTCAAAACAACCAAAATCCAGACAAAAATTGCATAGTAACAATCAGTTTAGTTTGTAAGTCTTCCACTACTATGCACACAAGTTGTGGTGCGGGATTGAAATGTAAAAGGAATAATTCACCAAATTTGTACAATCATATAGATGGATTCCTCACGTGCATAAGATAATACATGATGCCAACTGGTCAGTCAGGCAAATATTAAAACAAGTGGTTTAACTGAGTTTCCAGGGAAAACATTATTGTATGTTCAGTAAGCAGATACCTCGGGGTTCTACAATCCCTAATCCAGAGTTATCCTTCCTTCTTTTCTACTTCTAGTGCAATCTCATTACGGCGAGTGAATGGAAGTGTAAATGGTGGATTGTACTGCAACCACAATTATGGAGTTATTCAGAAAGGTAGGCCCAGAAGCAACTTATTCAGGGACTGACTTCATCATAGATAATTTCTTATAGATCTCACCTGTGCAACTTCTACTGAAGCACATTCTTTAACTTGAAACAGCCTGTCATTTTTCAGAGCATCTCGTAATTTCAGTTCCCGTCGTTTAACTTCTTCATCAGTAACAAAACCTGATCCAAGAACACGATCATAATTCATAAACAAAGTTAGTTCCAAGAGCTGCACAATTAAAAGATTTTAATGCATCAATACCATACTTTTTTTGTTCCTTAAATTCCAATTGATCTGTATTTTTATGAGCAAGCTAGTTAAATAGATATGCTCCTAACAAGAAGATTTAAATAAGGTTAACAGATTTCAAAATCTTGATGGTCGAACAGTTACCAGCTAATATCTGAATCAATGAACAATTCTGCAACTATGTGCTTTGAACTAACGCATGCAACAACTTCATTTTTAGATCAACCATTAAAGTTCACATATTACTCAGAAATCCTTAGCCTGATTTACTTTTGTTTCTTGTGACTGGATAACAACATATATGATGCTTTTGCTGCACAAAGTTAAGAACAAACCTGAGAAGGCAACAACTGCAACAACTTTCCTTGGCACCTCTTTGATCCTCACTGAAGGATCTTTAGGCAATGGCACATTGGAACCATACTTTGATGGCATGAGAAAAGACATCACCCACTTATCTTGTTTTTCCACCTAGATGATAAGTAGTCAAATAGATAAAGGTATAAATAACCACTTTAAATTAACAAACATATAAAGGAACATAAATCTTAAAATTTATATATCCAAACCCTCATAATGCAGTGCACTCAATACAAATGCAAGTAACTAATGATCAAATTTGAAAACACCAAAAAGGGTAGCAGTGGCTGAGCTAAACATATGTTTGTCATCTGAAATCAACTGCATGATTCTTAATTTCATACATGGAATCAGGGATCTCCTTCGAGTAACCTTAACTAACAAGAATAAGAGACTAGGTCTTCAAATTGCACTGGCATTGGACAAACATCAGTTGCATACATGAAAAAAAAAGTATAAATCCTAAAATTGAGTTATTTACAATATTTTCCAGAAAGTGCATTGGACAAACATCTTGAAAGTTTAAACTTATGACCCACAAGCAGTCTTACCTTCTTCGTTATCACAGGTGTTGTCATTTCCATCCTCTCCCCGTCAGATTGAGTCCTGCTCGTAAAAACAGGGGTAGTCATCTCCATTGTCTCCTTACTTGTATTCTACAAGCACCAAACATCTGAAATAAGCAAATTAAAAGAGGTAGTTCCAGAAGGAAATGTTCCAACTTAGCATGGAAAATCCTAACTACCTTACCAAACAGGTACTCAGCTAGAACATTGAAGGATTGAGATGCACCATTAAAATCAAATCCAGTCTTCCCCGGCATTGTTTTCTCGGCTATAAAATAAGGCTATATAACAATCATAATTCTCTTTAGACTACGCATCATAAACATAAATTCTAAAAATAATAATAATAATAATAACACCACATGTACATACCTCAACTACCCTTATCTCATATTGGTCTGTCCTACTCAGAACCTTAAACCTCACAGTCTCAAGATCCGGGACTACATAAATAAATCCATGAAAAAGAAAAAATATCTATATTAATGAAGCAAACTAAAACGTAAAAGTATATATACTTTATTGTTTTGGTACTAAAGAAAAAGTTTGTCAATATAAAGTTTTATTCTTTGCCTATAAACAACAATTTACTTCATCATCAAAAAATTTCAAAATATTCATTAATTAATACTATCAAGTATGATGAGGTGATTAGTTATAGTTCTAATATTAAACCTACCAAATAAAAGAAGTACCTGACATTAACGCTTCCTCCAAATTCCGGCTCTCAAACCTCTTTGGAAACACGTATTTCGCAGTCTCCGAGGCCAAGTCCATCAAAACTGCAAGAAAAATTAGTTTGGGAAATTCAAAGACTGCTGAAAAACAGAGAACTTGAACAAAATTTGAGAAAGAAAAGTTTAAAATTGGAAACTGAACATTTACGTCGTTGAGAGACAGAGGAAGCTTGAGAAGCAAGAGCGAAAACGAGAGAGATTCGGGCTTCAGAGGCAGACACGGTTCGTCTCTGCGGAGGAGCTAAGGCGGTCGTTGTTGCAGTTCTCTCCGTCGTGGCCATGGACTTGGCGATGTCCAAGGATGCTCGGTGGGCATTAGGGCTTTGTGTTGAAGACAAAATTAGGGTTTTGGGAAGAGATTGAGCTGCCATTGAAGGCTTGAAGAGAAGCATTTGCCTGTTTTTTGGGTGGGGCGGGGAGGTGGAAATTGTCAGTTACTGGCAGTCCTGTTTAAATTTCCGTTGGAAAGAAGAAACACGATGATGAGGCGGTTGGAGTTTTCCCGGGAAGGATTACGCCCATAAATGCATACTAGATATTTTGGTAAACAAAAACATGCTCCTTCACTTCCTTTTATTTATTTATGTAATTGGAATTTGCTTATTTATCCAGAGACTTCTGATGTGAGCAAGAAAAAGGTCATGTAATTAAATTATTTTAAAAAAATTTTAAAAAATTTAAATTTTTTATTATATTTTTATTTTAAATTAAATAAATATTTATAATTAATAATAAATTAATTATTATTAATTAAAATATCATTTATCTAGTTTTTAAGTTTAAGATGATTTTGATACGTATTAACACATTACACTTATACCACAAGATTTAAAATGTACATAATATTTGATTAAAAATAAATAATTAATTCTTAACTATAAAAGTATATTTCATTCAAAATAAAAATATAAACACTCGACTGAATATAACAAAAAAAAATATAAATTTATTTAAATTATTTTAAATAATTCAAAAATATTTAGATTATTGTAGATTATATTTACCATTATTGTAATGCAATCTTTTTCTTTTATATTGAGTATGAATATTTATCAAAAATACTTTGACATTGAATATATTGTGTTCTTTTAATTTTTAAATATCAATGTATAGAAAAGAACATTAGCTTTCCAATTTATTCACTTCAAACTTAATGGGATAAAGTTTTCTTCACATATTCTCAACGTAAGCACTCAGACTGGAAATAAATAAAACCCCTTATTGTTTGTAGAGTGCATTGCACTAAAACAGGTGAAGTCTCATGTAAAAATTTGGTGGGTAATATCCGTTTGCTTCCCTAATAAACTACTGTAACACAACACAGGTAGATGATCCTCCACGCCAAGAAAGGTGATGGTCTAGTGGTGGAGACCTTCGAACTCAACAGATCAAGGGTTTGACTCTTAAAGGATGGCAATAGCTCAGTAAATATCCATTAAATCGGCCCTTGACTTGCTTGCTCCATAGAGGACTACTAGACCAACTAACTTGGCTTGCTTTGGAAGAAACTGAGGTTTAGGCTAAGTCTTAACCCACCTTGAGGGAGCACCTGCTAACTCCCAGGGCAATTCCGTGAAGAAGGGCTCAGGCCGGGCACTAGAAGTCTTGTTTAGGCCCCCTCCTGTTATGGTTATGCCAAGCAACAACATCATTGTATGACAAGTTGCCCCCAAAAATATCCAACGCACTTCCCACAGTAACATCCACACGTCCCTTCCCCGCTTCTTTGATTGTCTCTAAATCATCCATCACGATGACACCACCAGCATAAGTGACAGGAATCTGGGAACAAAAGACAACAATATGTCAGCAGAATTTGATGGAAATCTACTTGTGTCCCTGGGCATCTTATAACCACAAGATAGCAATCAGGAAACAAGAGCAAAATGCATTAAGGGACCAAATGAGGGACTAAAACACCATCAAGGAGGCAAAAGTACGTGCTACCAACCGGAGAGTGCTCGCCAAGCAATGCCACAAGCTCTTTATCGATTCCCAGCCTGTAATAATTAAACCATTGGAAGTTATAATACATCGGGAGATACAACATTTAACCCTTTTGCTCTTCATATAAAGTTTGAAGCTAATACGCAGTGGAAACCAGTCATATAAGCACGTATAAAGCAGATTGGATATCTTAGACTGGTTGTCATGGTCCAGAAATATGAGGGGCGGGCCTCTTGGAGCACCATTTTACAAGTTTTCTAAATCAGACAAGCCTCAATGCTTCAATATCCTCCAAACTTCAATCAGGTACATAACAGGGTTTAAAATAACTTTGGCTTAAATTATAGCTTTAGCTTCATTACATTATATAAAGGCACTAGATTCCCAACAGTCATAACATTTATTAATTAGTAGTAGTAGTAACTATTTGATTGTAACAAACTAGAAGCAGGAGTCCTCCAATTAAAACGAAAGTAAACTGTCAGTCAGGAGTTTGATAGAGTATCATGGCAATCTCTGCAGCATACATCAAACAGAAATATGAGATTGCAAGCACAATAAAAGCCATTTATCAGGGTATATGAAGTTACAATACATCTAGGTTCCCTTTTGGTATTTTCTACCATATCATGTACTCAACAAAAGCAAACAAACAAGCCAAAACTTGCACTTTTACCAAAGAATGAAGGCACCACATGTTTGAGCTAGAATCGCCATTGCAGTAGGGCACCAATTCAGTTCACCAGGTATAATCCACATGGAACTTGTCAATGTAGTAATAAGTAGCAATTTAGTTGAAGCAAGTAGAAGAAGGGAGGTAGATAAAGGCAAGCTGGAAGCAAATATGAAGTCCAGGGATTTCAACAACATTTATACTGAAAGATTATTAAAAAATAGTCAACGGATGCAAAGCAGCAAGAACAACAGATAACTGATAAAACAGCATAGTCACATAATTCATATAAACATACAGACTACTGACTACCAAATTTAAATCCAGATCAAATAATTGACAAGTCATAATCTTAATCAACTGTCATGATTTCAAAGAGCAACCAGGTAAAAACTAGTATAAGAACTAGCAGTAAGTGCAATTTGCATGATGCAATAAACGATACAGTTAGAACTTACTTTTTCCCTTCAACATCCACACCATGAACCAGATATTCATCTGCATAATTGGCAAGAAAATGTAATACTTCCTCATCAAGATAGACATCACTGAACTTTTGCCATCTGTCAGTGACAATGGCATATTTGTCTTCCTGCCATCAAAGTTCAGATTTAAACAACCACCAAAATTTACGAATCCATCAACTCAGGAACTAACACTGAGAGGAAGTAAAATCGGCAACTCAAGAGTAGGGGAGGAGAAGGATGTAGAATGTGCCAGGCAATACCCATATTCAAATGAAATTTCTCCTAGAATTCAAGGCGCAGAAGACAGAAATGTTTCCTACCTTCTTTCGGCAGCTAAGGTCCAAGACAAGTCTCTGCTTCCCAACAACACAGACAAGACCTTTGAGCCTTTCAAGGTCCATTTGGCCATTGTTAAATACATACTGTAACAAATCCAAGAAAAAAATATACATGAGATTCTGTAAACATGTTATCTCAAAGTGAACACCCTGTACATGTCATGATTTCACACCTTGCCACTAAAAATTTACAGAATGTCAAAATTTATTAACATACTGAAGTGACAATGACATGGCTGGCTCCTTCCTCAATGTAACTCAAACAATTGTCTAAATTGATCCCACCTCCAACTTGCAAGCCACCTAGAATTTTCCAGTCCTCAAAATAAGTTCAGCAGAGGAAAGGTCTGTAAGTATTAAACATATTATCAAAGGTAGACAACAACGATGAAACAGCCACTCTTAACAACTTCATTGAAATTTCAGTACAAACAGTAGAAGCTTGCATCATGATTTTTGAGTGTACACATTAAACCCGTCTTAAGAACAAAACATTTTGCAGTTATCCCAAATGTACCATGATAAACCATAAAGCCCATCTTAGAATAAATAGACCACAACATATTACTCTAAAATATCAGCCTTTACCAGGATAGGCATGCAATGCTTCAATGGCTGCTGCTTTGCTTAAAAGATCAGCTCCAAGCATGATTACATGACCACCCTTTAGCCGATCTTTTTTGTACAACTTTGCAAACTCAGCTGCTGATTTATCCGATTCAAAATTGGTTACAAGGGTCAATTCATCCTCCTTTGAATCTCTAAGAGTTGACCCAACAATTTGTTTCACTTTCCCCTGAAAACAAATCATATATTAAGTGTCAGGAACTAAAGCAAAAATGTTAAAGCCAATCCACACAAGCACCAATGCATAATGAGGAAACTCTTTTCTCCTCCCATAAGGTATAAGAACAAAAGAATAATAAAAACATGAAAGCACAGTCTATTTTGAAAGAATAAGCTACATTAGCTGCCTTTAACTATTCTAAATGCCAACAAATGAAACTTTACTTTTGCTGCTATTAGCTGCCACAGACTCTCAGTATTTAACCAAGTAACCTAAGTTCAAAAATGACATGGTCACTATAATCTATAGGAATTGCACAGTAACAACAGTCAAGGAGTATTCACTTACATTAATGTAAAACTAATTAAGTTTTACACTCTTAATCATTTCCTTAATCCAACCATTGACATTCATACTCTATTGACATATAGATCATACAAGCCAAATTTGGAGTTAATTAAAATTTTATAACTATTTGTTTGGTAAGAATAAAATTTCGAACATTAAATATATATTGCAAACAACATATTCTAAATCCATGTGATACAAATATTGAATTGACTTGAAAACTTAAGAGCATGACGGGTATATGTAAGTTTTTCAAATCCAAATGTTGATTTGTTAAAATATTATTTGTACATGAAGAAGGGTGTAAAATACAACTAGTTTTACAGTGTTCCTCCCCAAGAAAAGTCATAAAGAAAAGAAATTTGTGAGCTTTCTGCTGAAACCAACATAAACCAAGCGAAATAACACTTTCCGAGAACCAAATTTGGAATTAAATAAAAAAAAACATTCTTTTGTATTGAATTACCTTGTGAATATCAATGCAAGGTCGGAAACTAACATCGCAACGAACAGTGAAATGACAAGATTCTGAAAGAAAATATTTTAAGGAAAAAAGTGAGATTAAGAAACCCAATAAGGAAAATCAAAAGGGACAATGCTAGAAGCTGAGAAATACTGAGACTTAGTGAAGGCGTGACTCTGGCATATGGGTGCTTGGGAGAACCATAAAAGGAGGAGTTGAAATTTGGGGAAGTGCTACTAAGCTCCAAGATTGAAGTCCCGTGGAGGCTGCAAGTTCTCATCTTTGGAGTGAAAACTCCAGACTAACGAGAGAGACCCGACGCCAAAGTCGTTTTTACGCGAGGGAACGCCGGACAGACTTACCTCTGGAAAGTACCTTTTATAGAGACTGGAATCTATAAAGATACTAATGCTACACTTCAGAGGCCAGAGACAAGAAGGAGAAACGGGTTGACTATAATGTTGCATAGTAGGCTAAAGAAAATGGGCGCTAGGCCCATTTTCAGACTTGACCCGGAATCAAAGCAACAAAATGGCAATGGCAAGTTCCTTTGCCAACGTAGCCTCTCCTCTGTCTCTCTCTCCGATACATAATTTTCTGATTTGCAAGTTTACGAGCTTTCCGTTCTTACAGTCTAACAAAGACTACCTATGAAGAAATACCTCCTTAAACCTCGCCAGAACCCTCAGTCAAAATCCCCACAACCATTGCCACCACTTTCTCCACTCTTGGACTCACCCCAAACACCAACACCTTCCCTTTCTCTCTTCCCCACAATTCCTCAGCCCCATCACCAGAACCAGCTCTTTTCCTTCCTCAAAACTTACCTGACCCACCAACCCTTAACCCCAAAAACCCTTCTTCACTTCCTCAAGATAAAGCTCCACCATCACCCAGTTTTCACCCACTATGACTTTCAAGTTTTCTCTTGGGCTTCCACCATTGACTCTTTCCACCACGACCACTCAACTTTCCTATGGATGGCTCACTCCTTAGCTTCCTCTCATCGTTTCTCGCAGCTTCGTTCTCTTCTTAGTTTTATAGCTGCCAATCCTTGCCCTTGTTCACCAGGTATCTTCTCTTGTCCTCAAATGGAACCCCTTTTTCGTTTCGTTATCGATTCTTTTTGTAGAGCTAGGAAGTTGAATGATGCTGTTTTTGCTTTCGAAACCATGAAGAAATTGATTGATGGAAGGCCTAGTGTTGTTACTTATAATGTTTTGATTAACGGGTATTTGAAAAATGGGGAGTTTGATAAGGCTTTGGGGTTTTATGAGAGGATGGAAAGGGATAGAGTGAAGCCAGATGTGTATACATTTAATACCTTGATCAGTGGTTATTGTAGGAATGGAAAGTTTGAGTCAGGATTGGAGTTGTTTAGGGAAATGAAGGAGAAAGGTTGTAGTCCTAATGTGGTTAGTTTTAATACTTTGATTAGAGGGTTTTTTAGGGAAAGGAAGGTTGATGAAGCAGTTAAGATGGCATATGAGATGATTCAGTTGGGATGTGAGTTTTCAAGTGTGACTTGTGAGATTTTGGTCAATGGTTTGTGTAAGGAGGGGAGGCTTTTGGAGGCGTGTGACTTGGTCATTGATTTTGCAAGGAGGATGCTTTTGCCAAAGGCGTTTGATTATTGTGATTTAATGGAGGAGCTTTGCGGTAAAGGAAATGCAGGTAGAGCATTTGAGGTGGTTAATGAGTTATGGATTAAAGGAAATGTACCGAGTTTGATTGCTTGTACCACTTTGATTGAAGGTTTGAGGAGGTCGGGGAGAAGAGAAGATGTATTTTGGTTGATGGATAAGATGCTTAAAGATGGTATTGTTCCGGATATTGTGACTTTTAATTGTCTTATGCAAGATCTTTGTGATTTGGGTAGAACGATGGATGCAAATAAATTTAGATTAGCGGCTTCATCAAAGGGTTTAGAACCAGATGAGGTGACTTATGACATTTTGATATATGGATATACAAGAGAGGGCAGAAGGAAGGAGGGAGAAATTTTGGTAGATGAGATGTTGGATAAAGGATTTATACCTGACATTGCCAGGTATAATAGGTTGATGGATGGGCTCTCCAATTCTAAAAGTTTGACATTGAAGAAAGTTAGTGCTTGTCGTAGGTCAGCATGAGTTGTGATTGTTGATATCATTGCCAAAGTTTATCTTGGTTTGTTTAGATTTCTTGCTGAACAGCAAGTAAGAGTTTTTTTTTTTTAAGTTTTATGACATTTTGTTAATTTCCTGCCCATGTTATAAGTTGATTTCGAGAAGGGACAGTAGTTAAGGAAGAATGAAAGTGTGATGGTCGAAATGGAAAGATATTGCAAGCAATGCACTGTCAAATCCTCTTAGGTCACTAAATGAAGTCAGTTGATCAAGGCAATCTTCTGCTCTCTGATCAGCCTGAGGATGGCCACCTAGCAAATGCACTTAGAATTGCATCTTCCACAATGTAGAGAAATGCAAAGGGGAATTTGACAGTAAATCCACTTCAGAGAGAATAAAATGGTTAGTATGTGATGAATTGCCAAATGCTCTTTGGTTGCTAAGTGAAATTGGTTGATCAGAGCAATCTTCCACTCTGTGATTGGCCTGAAGATGGCTACCTATCAAAGGCATTTAGATGGACTTGGATCCTTCCTCAGTGTATAATAATTCAAGGATTGTTTTAAAAATAAATCTTCTTGAGAGAGCGCAAAATGGTATATTATATGATGTTATAGTTTTATATGGTCTTTGGAAATCCATTTTTTTTTTCTGCATATGATTCTCTTAACTGTATTTATTTGTTAAGCAATGGCCTGAATGACAGGGCAGCAGACTTCTTGCTGAAAATTGGGTATACATTGGATTTTAGGATGTTTAAAAATAAACAATGGGTTCACCTACAGAATAATGGTACACATGCACCTTCCTGACTTCTTCCACTTTAAACTGTGAAGTAGCCGTTCAAAAAAAACAAACTGTGAAGTGAAAATCAAGCCAGAGTTAGATGCTGCTTTGTACCAGTTTATAAGTTATAGCATGATGCTAAAGTCACTCGCAAATTTCAACTTGATACATTACTAACTGTAACATTTATTATTGTACACTTTTGCAACACGGCAAATAGAAGTACCCCTTTTGCCTGTCTCTCTTTTTTCATTTCCTTTTGCTATAGGTCCTCCTTTGTAATTTCTGTATGTTATGCTTACACAGAGTAATAAACCTAATGAAAATTCACTTAGATTATTTTACTTTTTGAATTACAAATCTTTACTTTACCTCTCAATCCATCTCAGGTGATGTCAGAAAATATGAAATCCTTAGCTGCAATGAGTTCTTAAGCTCTTAATGCTACTAAGTAGCAACTCTTAAGGCTCCTCCTAGGCCTATGAGTTAATAACATATTCTCTAGAAATTAAAATGTAGAACTGGTGCTGATTTCACAAAAGTGGTATGCTCGCAGTTACTAAATCCAAACTGTGTTTTGAACCACAAACCACAGTTTCGCCTGTTTCTTCTTACTTTATGAAAACAAGAAATAAGTAAATATCATAACAAATTATTTATACTACCTTTGAAAATGATATGGCTATTATGCAATCAAAGTGCATTGTTTTAATCTTCCCAATGACCAAAATCTCTTTGCTTTTGACAACATGAATTTTCATGAAATTCAATATCCAAGAAAAGATCCCCAAAAAAAATTACAACTTCTAAGAAAGTATTTTGAACTTAAAATTACAAAGAGTGAAATGACTGACATAAAAGTCCAAGTGACAACTGATTTTATCAATAGATTCTCTCTCTGGAAACTGTAGAGTTTCTCTCAAAGGCGAAAATGGCCTCTTTATCCTTACGTAAAACTTGGAAACCATCATTATTCTCGCTCCATAATCACTCCAAGATCATCAATATTGTTACCCTGGAACCAAACACCACCATTTCCAGCTGTGAGGGCATTGCCAGGCCGTGCCAAGGAGGGCGATCAACCACCATCTGATGTTAGGAAGTGAGTAATCCAAGCCGTGGATGATAGCAGCAGGAAGGTCACTGTTGGTGACGTGGCAAGCAACGCTGATGTCAAGCTTAGTGGTGCTCAAAAAGCTTTGCATGCTCTTGCTGCTGACACTAATGGCTTCTTGGAGGCACTACCTTTGAAGCTTATTCAATGTTAATTGATCTGCATTGCTTTTTTTTTTTTAGTTTTTTATTTATTTATTTCTTTTTAAAGCTGGTTTGATCCTGGAAGGTGGTGTACTTTATGTGTTTCCCTAGGATTTTAGGTCCAAGTTCGAGGCCAAGTCATGTAGGATAAAATTTGAAGCTCTGCATGAAAAAGCTAAGGTATTTCGATTTTTCTTTTTAAAGAAATGAATAATTTGTTTTCTTATTGTCATCCCTAAGTTTGTTGAATCTTAATTGCCTTTGTTGACAGTCTGTATGTGTGAACTTCGTGAAGATTTCTTTTGGAACATCACTAATTTGTTCATTTGTGCTTGTTTATGTCACAATCATTTTGATTGTTATAATGAGTCAAAGGTATCTGTTCACCTTGGTGCTTGACATCCTTGCAAAAGTCCTGGTTCCATACTTTCTTCAATCAATAGATTGTTACTAATATTTTTTAAGCATATATAGTTGACTTTGGGAAATTCGGTGACAACTATATTTATGTTGAAATTGGTAAAGATAATAATTCGAGTTCTGGTCCTTCTGGAGGTTCTAACATCCATATTGACGTGGTGGAAAGCTATCATTCTTCGTGTGGGCAGTTCAAGAGGTTTGGGATTCCCTTTCTGATTTAATCTGTCTGATTGAGTTGCTAATAGATTTATATTATTGGTGGTCAGATATTGGATTGTATTTTGAGTTGGCAAAATTTAATATGTAAAATCTAGCCTTTTTAAGTGAAGTGGGGAATAATTAGGGGATGTTCAAATTAGTTGAAACTGTTTAGTGTCATTGCTATTTGAAAAGATAGAAGTTACAGACGAATCAGATCAGAGACCCCTCATGAATCTAGGTAATTGAAATGTGAACTTCTTGTTCTGTTGGTCAGTTGCATTGAGAAAAAATATCAATTTGTGCAGATTTAATGAAGGTGAATAGTCAAATAGGAATATGGTTCAAGAAGAGGTATGATAGTGTCTTTCTTTCCATTAATTATCCAATCTAAAAGCAAGTTATTGTACTTCTTGATACAATACCTCATGTAAGCTCATATTGGGAGTTTGCTAAGCCCTTGATCACTAACTTTGGTATTATAAAACTGTTTCTGTATATATACATTTTATCTTCCTATGTCAAGTACATAGTAGGCATATCATCTCTTTTCATTTACTTATGCTATGCAGTCTTTAAAATTGATTCTTGTTCTTCTTCTTTCGGTAACCTGCTTGCTATTTTACAGATAGAAAGTTTGAAACTGAAAAAAGAGATGAGGTAACCTTTATTTATTTTATTTGCATATATATCTGAGATTTGGGGGTCCATATTATTGAAGATGGTGTAGAGCGGGGATCGAATGAACTTCCTTGAATAAGTATGTTAAATACTACCAAACTGAATCCTACTGGAGCTTTTTTTGTTTATTTCCTACACATCAAAGAAAAACAAAATCAAACTCACAGAGATCTGGCAGGTTTTCTCATTTGTATTTGGGGATGGTGATCCAAATCATGGAGTGAAGAAGAGAGGTGGAAGTTGGTAAATTTGGAGCTCTAAATTCACCCACTAATTCAGCGTTTTCCTCAAATTATTGGTTGAACTACCAACTTATCTTGCTGCTGGTAGGCTTGGTGATGATTTGATAACTTCAATAAATATTTTTAAACTCTAAAAAATTGACACATGAATTAAAGCTTATAAATCAGCTTTAAAAATGACTTCATAAGAGTTGAATATGTGTGAGAATATGATGATTTTCAGTAATTCTTATCTGCAAATTGTATCAATAACTTCAAATGGTGGAGTTGTTACTGCTGAAGAACTTTGCCCATATCTGGGTTTTGAAACTTCAGAAAAAACCTTGGAATGTTTCTATTGCTGCATCTTGCAAATCATCAGATACCAGGTATTGTTTGTTTTCTTGCTCTTGAATTTGAGATGTGTGCTTATGCTCAAATTCCAGCTGATTTACTTTATACTCAAGCCCCCAGCCCTGTTTAGGGAAAAAAGGAAGTCGAAAGAAAATAAATGAAAAAATTGGCACACATGCCTACTCATTAACATGGGTTATTAACATATTTTCTTTTTGGTTTTGAATGATGAATCATGCATCCTACGTGTTCTTCTGTGGTTCAGTAGTCATCTAGCGATTGATAAAGAGGTATGCAAATAACATAGTCAGAGTCTTCAGGAGTAACCTTTTTATCACCACTAACTGGCACACAGCCACTCAGACATCTTATTTATGGATATTCATTTTAACTGATTATTTGTGCAGGATAATATTTTGTATCAATTTCCAACATTACAGCATACAACTTCTATGGAGGGGAGAAGATGTTCTGATCGTGGTGGACAAGTTGACATGAAGTTTCCAGGAGGGAAGAAATGGGAATTAAGGTTTTTATAAGTTTTTTTTGTTTTTGGGTTCCACACTTGTGTACATAAAAAACTCCTTTGTCACTCTGTTCAATATAACATGGTGAGTTGTGTACCTGAAGCAAAACTAGATTCAAGGAGAGTCATGGTCCTTGGATTTGGTGTACTTAATTGTTTTGGGGTTATTGTTCTTGCTCTCATGTTACAGTTGAGAATAACTGTTATTTTAGTGGTTTCTAGTACTCGTCTCTCATTTGTTTTCCTCATGAATATTATTTGAAGGAACACTGCAGTTGTGTCAAATGAATATTAAATTTTTGGCTCCATTATATCCTTTACTTCAGGTGAGATTTGTATTTTCGTTCTAAATGAATAAATTGCTATCTGTCATACCTGGGATCAATATGTGCTCTCTTCAAACTTATAGTTCCATCTACTGGCCACTTGTTGAAGTGAAAGTTATTTATGCTTGCTTAGGGTAAACCAAAATGGCAACTAATCATGGTCATTAACAAACTGCACTCATTGAGTGCTAGCATTTGAACTTGAAACAGACTTTTTTCTTAGAACATAATAAATCAATGAGTAATCTTTGCCCTTTCAATTGTTTGGCAATTCTTCTAAAACTATAGCCAGCACTTCTGCAGATTTATGCTCCTCCCTTCATTGTTCCTGTTGTTCTCTGGTTCCTTTGTCAGGAGAAATGATGGGATAGAAAAGAGAAATGGAGTCAGGGAACAGCATGCTTGAATTGCCTGGTCCTTCACTAAAACAGAAGGTAATCGTATAAATGATTATTCTACTCGTTCATCAATCTCGAGCTGCAATGATATCTCTCCTTTCCATTTAGTAATTTCGCAGGCATTCGCCTTTTCCCCCTTCCTTTATGATTCAAGTGTTGCACCTCTTGTCTGTTACCTTTTACATTACATAAGTGGCACTCGTCTTCTGTCACAACATAGTTGACATTCTCTGTTAAGACATTATCAGTAAAATGTTTGCTCGGTATAATTGACCATTCTGCTAGGGAGAGGATTAACTTCTTCACTGTTATCTGTTCAGCCTAGGAGTGCAAGGCAACATGGCCTAAAGAACAGTTATAGGACAGGATTGTATTGTCCACACCAGTGATAGAGACCTACTGGGCCAAAATTATGAAGCTCAAATTGGAATAGCAGATTTCTGGAGATTGGGAAGTCAGATTGATTGGCTATAAGGATTTGGTAAGTTTCATGCCTCTGCTTTAATTAGTTGATACTAAACTTCCAAAGAGATTTTGTGGTAACTGATAGCCCTGCATGAATGGCAGGTTTCTTCTTCTTCTTCTGCAATATGGGCTCTCTACTAAAACCCAGATGAATCAATTCACACGAACATCAACAAAAAAAAAAAGTTTCATTAGCTCTAACATCTAAGGACTTTGGATTATGATCTTACTTGCTTCTTTCTAATTGGCAAGCTAGTGATCTTCCTAGCTTACTTGCAATGTTAGTCCCTCTCATGGCCACCGTTAGCCATGCTGAAGATTTGGCAAGGTGGCAACAGTTCTCTGCATTTCAAGAAACTTGTTCCCAAACAGATGCAACTTTCATCAGCTCTGGACATGGGTGATAAGAGTTTCTTGTATGCTCATTCTCTTCTTTTCCCATGATTACAGGTGAACGGGGGGGAAGACACTGACATCAGAGCTCCATCTCACATCGTCAGACACTTTTTTTGTTTAATCATTTTGGTTTTCTGGTAAAATTTGTAAAGCTTTTATTTTATGTAGTAAATGAACTTTGTATAACTTGTTTAGAGGTAAATGTAAATTTAGTTTATGTAACCAAAAAGAAAAATGTAAATTCATTTGTTTTTGAAAGCAAACCTTCATTTGTGTGTAAGCAGTAGCATTTTAATATTTGTTAATTTAAGATTCTGATTTTTTTTGCTTTTACTTTTAGTTGTTAAATGAAAACCAAGTAGACAAGAGCACTGAAATTGACGAGATTGCATTAGAAATTCTTCCTCCTTACCACAAGCAAGAAAATAAAGATATAATTTTTTTAAAATATTTTAAATTATTTTAAAATTTTAAAATTTTTATAAATATTAATTAAATATGTTTATATGATATAATGTCATAACCACGAGATATTTTATTTTTTATGTTATTTTCACGTTAACAGTAATGAACATAAAATAAAAAGTATTATTTTAAAAATTATTTGATATAAAATAAAAATATAAAAAAATATTAAATATTTAAAATTTTATGAATAAATCAGGAATTATTTTAAAAAAGATTAAATTAATTTTTAAAAGTCAGGCAGCCCATCAATCTAAAATATCGCGAAGGGTAAAAAAGTCAATCCAGTAACATAATCCTCCCGCTTTCTATCTCTCTCCTGTCCTTCGCCAAGCTTACCACATTTTTTCTAAACCAACTCCTCCATGGCCAGAGCTCAGAAAAAACTCTAAAAATTCTTCTAAAAATAAATAAAATATAAAATTAAAAAAATGGCCTCAATTTCTACCTGCCTCACTCTATCTCCCAAGTCCCGCCTCTTCACAACAAAGCCCTCAGTTTCTCTCGAATTTTTCCCGGGAACCCAAACACTAACTTCTTCCCCAACTTTCCCGAGAAAATCCGGGAATTTTTTCAGACCCAGGGTTTCATTTCCGGTCGTAAAGGCAAGTCTTGATGTCGGAAGCAACTCGATTAGGCCTGGAGGTGTGGTGGAGACCGACAAATTACCGTCTGATGTAAGAAAACGAGCAATGGAGGCCGTTGATTCGTTTGGTGGGAGGGTTACCATTGGAGATGTTTCCAGTAAAGCTGGGCTGAACTTGAATCAAGCTCAAAAGGCTCTTCAAGCACTCGCTTCTGATACTAATGGCTTCTTGGAGGTATTTTATTTTAAATTTTTTATTTCATTTAAGTTCAAAAAGTTTGATCTATGTTAGGGTTAACTACTATTGGAACTGAAGCACTAGAAAATTTTAAAAAAGCTTTGTTGGTTTGAGAAACTGAAATGCCGAAGTAGATAGTAAATTGAACAACTTCATCTGAGTTAACATAATTTGCGCGTATAAAAAGGTTGCTTTTTGTGTTTATTCGAGACAGAAATGGAATGTAGATGTAGTCTGGAAGTGATGTGGAGTACAATAATTTCAGTCAATGTATTTCGATTGCTACACTTAAACGCTACTTATTGTTGATTATTGAACTCAAGGGAGTTTTCTTAGATGGTTATGATTTGAACAGTCAAAAGAGTAATTGCAATTTTTATTACTAGATTAACTAACAGATACTGAAATGAAGCACATGGTTTAGTTGGACTTCTAACGGTTCATTTCTATAACTCTAGCTGCAATCTACTTTTTTTTTTCCTGGATAAGTATATGCTGTCTATCCTTTTCAAAAAAATAAAACAAAGGTATATGCCGTCGATCGTCATATTGGATTTTTTTTTTCTCTTTGGTGAAGTAAACTAGAGCCAACCAGTGTTATTGACTTATTCTCTTGGTCAGCCTTTACTGATCTTTGTATGAGGAGTACCGTGTTGTTTCTTTGGGACTTATTCTAGTATTACTAGTTCTATTTCTAGGATCTTTGAAGTTGTTGATTCGTGAGTGTCATTGTTTTCAAGATGGGTTTAACAGGTTTCGGATGAAGGTGATGTCCTTTATGTCTTTCCGAAGGATTATCGTGCAAAGCTTGCTGCCAAGTCACTTAGGATAAGATTTGAACCCTGGGTTGATAAAGCAAAGGTAAATATTCATTACATTTTTTTTTTTTGGAGTGGTCAGGGGAAAATTATTGATGTTGTACAATTTGGGCAAATAACCTAGTCTTTTCCTTGCTTGGCAGGCTGCACTTGAGTATTTAGTTAGAGTTTCCTTTGGGACAGCACTTATAGCTTCAATTGTTCTTGTTTATACAACAATTATTGCCCTTATCACTAGTAGAAGGTATCCACTGAGCTTTACATTTTGAAATTATTGCAATAATATTATTCTACACCTGTGGTTGTTGAGAGCAAGATGTTGACATTGTGATCTGCTATCAGTGATGAAGACAATCGAGGAAGACGAGGCAGATCATATGATACAGGATTCACCTTCTACTTCAGTCCAACTGATTTGTTCTGGTAATAGTTTTATATTGTTAATAATTCCAGCAGTTTTAGAACTGTAAAGGGGTGTTAAATTATGGTTGAGAATTTTCACTCATCTGGCGGACTAGATGATGTTCGTAAGGAGCATATAAGGAGGATAACGTAGGCTTGTATTCCCATTTTCACATGTTCAAACACTTACATAACCTCCTTTAATTTAATTTTATTTAAGGTACTGGGATCCGTATTATTATAGGAGGCGGCGGCTACGAACCGACGATGATGAGAAGATGAACTTTATTGAATCTGTAAGATCTGAAAATAAAATATTTGAATCATGTATGGCTTTGCTCAGTTACTTTGTGCTTCAGAGGAAGAAAGTTAATTTAATTTGCAAGTTTGTTTTTAGGTTTTCTCTTTTGTGTTTGGAGATGGTGATCCAAATCAAGGAATTGAAGAAGAAAGATGGAAGTTGGTAATACTTGAGCACTAAGTTCATTGGTGTATGCGGGCAAAATATTATTTCAACTTACTGAAAGTAGTTATACAGATTATTTATTGTTTGATTTCTCCCTTTACAAAGTGTCACCCATTACTATCCAAAATTGCAGATTGGGCAATACATAGCTTCTAATGGTGGTGTTGTCACAGCTGAAGAACTTGCTCCATATCTTGATATACAGACTGCAAATGGAGCAATGGTATGATCGTGTATTAATGCTAATCTAATTGGCTTGTAATTTGTTGTTGCAAATTGTTCTGAAAACCAGTATATATTTTTGGCCTTGAATTTGAAATATTTGCTCTCAAGATCTCACAAGTTTTGATTTATTTCTCAAATTGATTAGAAAGATACAACTATTCTTGGTTCATAATTGCACCAACTAAAAAAATTTAATGAATAAACTTATTAGATCTCAGATGTTTTCTTTTATGTGCATTGTAGTTCCGGCTTATTGTATCTCCATATTTATTTCTGCATTTTGTACATCACAGATCCTTTGAATCAATAGTGTTCTGACCCTGGTCATATATTTAATGGTTACTTCTTTGCTATCATAAGTAATTCACGGTCAGGTAGTCCACAAATGATAAGTGTTTCCTTAAGGTTCTATTTAGAAATCTTCACAACCATTATATTTGATTCTTGTTTTTGCTTTTTCTTTAACAATATGTTTATAACTTGTTGGAGAATACTTCAAATTGTCCATGTTGAAAATTCTTTTTAGTTGTGACTTTTCGTTATTTCATATCATTTGAGCCTGTCAATCAATTACTAATTAGTTCGTACCCTGCATCCATGTTGTTTGTGTTTCTTGTTAAGTTATTTGACTTTTTTTTTTCTTGTCGGTTCTAGAGTGATGAATCGTATGTCTTACCTGTTCTTCTGCGGTTTGATGGTCAGCCAGAAATAGATGAAGAGGTATGTGGAAAAAATGTATATGCATATATGTATATATAATGTGGATGTGTGTGTGTGGACTACAAAGAATTGCATCTATTGTCACCGTAAAATGTAACAACTTTAAAATTTATGAGTTTGACATGAGGGACCAATATTTGATCAGTATTCTGAGATCAAGACTGTATGTCATCACATGTTTTATTTCTTGCAAGATGAGTGCCCAACCTCATAAGTTACAAAACTATTTGTGTAGGGAAATATCCTCTACAGATTTCCATCTCTGCAACGTACAGCTTCTTCTCAGAGGAGTGGAAGGAAGGAATATGTAGGAAGAAGATGGAGTGATTGGGTTGGGGGAATTGAGAAATTTTTCAGGGAGAAGAAGTGGCAATTCAGGTTCTTCTTCTTCTGAGTGTGTGTGTTTTATGTTCTGCATTTATTTGGTAGGAACCGTTCTATTTATTGAGTTTCATTTTATTGGTAAGCATTTGCTTTGCAGTAAAACAAGCTCGTCAGAGAGAGCAATGGTCTTAGGTTTGGGTGGGATTAACCTCTTTGGAGTTATCATTCTTGGAGCTATGTTAAAGTACAGTCCTCTTTCAGTATTACTTTCAGTTAGTGCTTCTTACTTTCTATCTCTCTAATGGCTTTGCTCTTATTTTTATTTGAAGAGATTCTGCTGTTACACCAAGTGGATTTATTAAATTTGTCACAGACATTTTCCCTCTACTTCAGGTAAGATGTTATGTTTCTCTTCTTAAATAGATTGGTTGTTTGAACAGCAAAATTTTAACGATTAGTATGAGGTCATTATGATTTTACATTTTGTCCTCGAATGAGATGTCCATTATGATGCATGGACAAGTCCCCTTCCTCTGTTTAACCATGTTGTGTTCTTGTTGGAGGAAATGCTTCGGACACGACAGGTTTTACATATCCTAACATGACAGGATCCCAGAATCTCTATAATGTTACACACACCTCAGCTTTATATTTCTGTCCGTGCATGTGCACCTTGGTCTCTGTCTTTTTTATGTTTCATGTTGGGAGGACCTGATATCTGTCCTACCTATTAATATACCTGTTTATTATCTCAGACCTGCACACATACTTATGTTGTTTGAAGTTGAGTTGCTACTTATGCAGCATGTAAGTGTAGATTAGATCTTAGAGTTGCCTTTTATTTTTTTTGAGTTTTGGCATGTGAAAGTAGAAAAAATTGTCTTGTGTTCTTCCATGACTTGTTTCCCATGCTTTAGGAAATGAAGTATCATTGGCTCGATTATTTTTACCAGTTTTTTATTAAGCATTATTCATTCATTACAGCTATAGAATATTAAAAATTCAGGTTTCTTTCCCATGCTCAGAATGAAATATTATTCAGCTTTGCTTTCTCAAAATTTATACATAACAATTGTTTGCAGATCTATGCTGGTTCTTTCTTTGCAATTCCTTTGGTTCGGTGGTTCATCATTCGTCAAAGGAATACTGATATAGAGAAGAGAAACCGAGTAAGAGAGCAGTTTGCACGAGCACTTGAATTGCCTGATCTTTCACTGAGGCGGAAGGTAGCCATCTTAGCACCTGCAGTTTGATTTTTGCATGTAGTTTCTGATAATTGTAGTTGTTGTTCATAATTCTCCATTTGAGTAAATAGCTTTATGCTCAGTACCTCTTCTATTCTTCAAAAGGTAATTATGCATTTTTAAACATTTTAACATTGTAATGAAAGTTGAATCATTTTTAAGATACAAACATCTATCGATGTAATGATTGATAATCTCATTTGCAATTCTTTTCTGATTTATCTTCATATATTATTCCAACGCTGGTGGATCACCAGTATGCAATTTTTGCATGCTATATTGCAGTTCTCTGTGCTTCTGGCCTCCTCTGTCGTAAGAAAATAAGTGGGAGTTGGGGTCCCTGAGACTTCACAAATATGCAATGCAGGAATATTACCTTTTATAATTTTTCCCTTTGTATATTTGAAATCTTTTTGTCCGATGAAATTAATTTTAATTAATGATGTTATAGTTGGTATAATGATATCATTTTATTTTGAAGTTGAATATCCAATTTTTCTTGTAGAAGATCACATAGGTGAATCTATTCTCATGGAATAATATCTTTATTTCTTCTCTGTATAATATGTCAGCTACTAAGTGCTCGAGATATGGCACAAAAAACAGTAATAGGACCGGATCGCATTGTGTATAGTACTGACAGAGACTTGGTTGAGCAAGATTACGAGGGACGAGATTGGGATAGAAGATTCCGAGAGATTGAGAAGTCAGAATAAGAAGAGGCCATATGGAATATGCTTACATGGTAAGCGCCCCCCTCCTCCCCCTCCTCTCTCTCTCTCTCTCTCTCTCTATATATATATATATATATATATATATATGTATATATGCATCAGCCATAAACAGACATGGCTGGAGCATAAACTTCATTTTGAACTTTTAAAAGTCTGAATCATGAACCTCAACCATAGGAGAAACGTCTCTTGGTGACAAAAGTTAGTTTCAATATTAGTCTAAAACCCGGGCTACTATTCTGATAGAGTTTCTATCAGATGTGTGTATCTTAGATCTCTAAGGAGTTTTCTAGGTGTCAATAATGTAAAATTTTTGCTATATATTTTTACCTATTTCTTTCCATATTTAGTTGTAGCTTCGGCAGCTCAAGTTTGTGCCACTCTTACCAAAGCATCATTGTATGCAGTGCTTGACATGGAACCTGACACTCCGAAACTGTGGATATACCATTGATGGAAGAGGCAATTCTACAAAAGAGAATCAGCAATCCTACCTCAGTGCCGCCTGGAATAGCAATGAGGGGTAGAAATATAGATTGACTCTGCAACCTTTCACCCTTTGCTTAGGAACTTCAAAAATATGTCTCATTATAGATTTACCAAAGGTCAGCATTGTGAATTCAAATCCTCTTCTCCATTTGGTTTCATTTTCTTAAAATGGAAAATATGTAGTATAAACTGCAAATGATCCTTTTGTAGTGTTGAGACTAGAGGAGCAGTGGATTGCTATCTATTAGGTGTCAAGAGAACATTTTTGGACTTAATTGTACACATTGATATAGGATGTAAAAATAAAATCATGAGTCAGTTCTCAATTATATGCTTTATTACTACCAGTGCATCAAATATAATCCTTAAATTGGCATTATAATGAAAAATTGTAATTTAAAAAACCTGGGAAAACCCTTTTCAAATATTATCCACTAATTTCATTTGTAAATTTTAAAATCTTCATGGCCCATGTCAGTACGATAACAGTGTCAAAAGAAATCCAATAAAAAGAAAAGAGTGGAGAAGCGGACAAGGCATCCACTGATCAACAAAATTCAACAGTAACCATAATTAGAGTTTGAGGTGGCTTTGAAAGATGAATGATGATATAGGAACCATTAAGCAGATGATAATGTACAACTGACCATTGACTGCAGTAGACCTGTAATATCAGAGACAGGCCGCACAAAATACTGAATAAATTTCACAGGTCTGTTGCACTAGGGTACATGGTATAGCCAGTTTTTCTATTACAGGTAGCAAATCTCCAGGCTTGGCTACCAAATTCGAATGTTACTTTGTGATAGTCAGCTTGCTACAGGAGCAGAGCAAGTAATCTGCACAGCGACACTTCCTGAAAACCCATCACAGACAGCCAATATATAGCAATTCAACATGAAACCTTTAGGAACGATCAACTCAATGGAATATTTCCCAGAGGGGTTTGCAAGCAGGTAGAGGGTTTTGCTCATGATCAATGATTATATGCTCAATAATTGTTACAAGAAACAACCCAGAGTGGAGAATTTCAACAGGCACAAACAACACATAGTCCTCAGTCGTCATAACCACATGATTAAGGGGCAGAAGGTGAGAGAAAATATTGCTTCCACCCACTTTGGGCACCCCAATTGAAGTTTCTATCAAACTGCAAGCGGCCATTTTCAAGTGACACAGAATACCAATATGCCTGCATGAATTGCATTGTAGGATAAAAATTAGTTTTTCTCCTGCTGGGCCATAAATGTTAAAAACAAAGTCAAATATGCATATTTCTATCATAATGTACAAATTAACAAGATGTAAATGGAAACCAAGTCATGATAGCCTTGCTAACTATACTAGCATCCTAAAGACTTTCGTAAGGAATTCAACCAGTAATAAACAATTTGATTTTGCTGAAAGTTCTCCATGGAATTTACATATTAAAACATGTACCTTTTTTTGGAAGCTTAAAATGAAATTCGTAATGTCATACAGCTTGGCAGGATTATTTTCCTTCAAGGTTAACTTCTTTTAGATTGAACTTGAATCTTGATTTTTAAATAACTTTTAACCAGAGACTACCCATCTACATTAGCTAACAACTCCATATATAAGCACTTCTTCTTTCAGAAATTCTTCTCTCTACGTGTTTAAGCATGAGAGCGGTTAGATCCAGTGAAACCAGCTAACTACAATTAAAAGGAACCCTATATGAATGTTCCCTTTTCAAATCAAACAAACAGAGCAAAAAGCTTAAATTAAAAGGAGATGTCCTTATGGTCTCATGAATCTACCTCCTATGTAATAAATTCATTTTGTATGCCTTTCAAAGAAAAAAAAAATAAGACATCCCTTTCCATTTATCTGCTGTATGAAAATTAAGGTTCCCAAAGATAACATCATCAGAAAACACACTTATGGCTTGGTCTCTATTCATCAGATGACCAGTCACATAATCTCCAGTCCACAGCACTGTACTATGTTTGAGCATTCAAAGGTAATCGGACAAACAAGTATGAAATGGGTTTTACAGAGAGAATGCTTAACAAGTTAAAAATGTAGGTAACATTCAAGGATCTAAAATCCATCAGAAAAATAGATCATTTGAATTTAGTAGTAATAAGAAGAGTAAAAATAATTAGCAGAAGGTTGTACATACAAATCATGAGCTTACCTAAAAGTGTGCAGGCAAATACTATTGTCAGTATCATTTGTACAGATCGTCGATTAACTTTGACAGGATATGAAAATCTCTCACATCTGGCATTACATGTCCCAAGCGTCCTTCTCAGGTGCATGACCTTTACAAGAAACCCATGTAATCCCTGGAGACCATGGTCTCCAGGTGCTGACCTTAGTCCAATACACTGAACCTGTTATGAGATACAGACCATAATATGAGGTGATTGACCAAAGCAAGAAGGCTCTGTGCTATACAGGAATTGATCATTATTCTTCCCTGTGTTGCTTAGCAATTGAAGGCATGTCAAAGAAAATAGGGCCAAAACCACAGAGCAGATTGTTCAAAATTTTGGTTGTTCTTCAAGTTTTATAAACTTTTGAGGTTAAGAACTCAATTTTGCTCAAGGCTAGTATCAGAATCCCGAGCTAACTACTTTGCCAGATCTTGACTACTGTTTACCTTAGAAAACCACCAGCATGAATTCCAAAGACTAATGATAAGATGGATTAAAGCATTAGCATGGGTAATGAAACATACCTGTGTTGCACGAGAAGCATCAATGTATAATGGGGAATGCTCTTCTTCTCCATCTTTCAAACGCTTTGTATAATTGCTAGGAACCCTACTCCTATATGCAGCCCATAGATTATTGAAGAACCTAAAGGGACTGCTTGAAGAACCTCTCAACTTATTCTCATGGAAGAAACTCTTAGGTTTGACTTCACTAGCTTCTAAATCCCAACTTCCATCTTCAGCATTCCTGTTACGGGAACTCTCTTGGAAAGAATCCACTGCATCCAGACCCAATTTTATAGAATAATGAGAACCCACTTTCCCTAAATTGTTCTCCTCCATAGAATCATAATAATGGCTACCATAGGCAACACCATTTGTAGTCACTTCTTCAATTTCTCCACATTCATTCCCAACAATTCCAGCATCTGTTGAGCAAGAAGCTGTGGCTGGTTCAAGAAATCTTTTCAAGATGTCACTATCATCGAAGTCATAACGGTGATTGTGTTCATCATGATTTCCCCCTGAAAGAAATAATGCCAAACCATCTCTATCTTGTTTATTCAAGTTTCCCCACTCAGAGTTTTTCATGGAATTTCCCATTGACATTTTCTCCAAGCTCTTCTCAACATGATTTATCTGTTCGCTAATGGCTCTAATAAACTGCTTATGTCGGGAAATCACATCCTCCCTAGCGTGTGACTGGTCCATCCTAGCTGATGAGCTAACTGCTTGCTCAAAATCTTCCAACTAATTAAAGCAAAGAATAAAATTAGCTAATTGAAGAAACTGGGAAAAAAAAAGTTGCGAAAAGAATATAAAAATAAAGAATAAACATGAATGAGTACCTGCCATTTTGCTGTTTCAAGTATGGTAACAAGATCACGCCTATGATACTCAATCGAGGTAAGCAGCTTCGGGTCAGAATGATCGCTTTGAACAAGACTTTGATCATGCCAAAGAAGGCGAAAAATGGATTCCATCCTGAAAATATTATATCAAAATCATTAGTTTTGAACTTTCATAAGAATATCCCTCAGCACAGTAAATCACTCCCCACATAATCCAATAGCAGAAAACTAGGCCATTTTAAAAGCATAAAAAAGTCTTTTAAAGTAGCTTAATTTCAATTCAGTACAAACAACGATGGCAAACTTTGTAAGAACCAAAAACCAAACTCACTAAACCAGCATTTACTTATTCAGCCACCATTACCCCAATAAAAAAAATCCTAAAGATTATTTACATTGTAAAGTCCGCATCTAACTAATTTTTATAAATTTTTATAGATGACTTCATATAAGCATTAGCGACTTTGCGACAGAAACCAAATTCCACAATAAAAAAAAAATAAGAAAGGTTTTTACCAGGAAAACAATAAAAATGAAAACCTTCAAAATGGGTGTTAAAAAGAAAAAAACCTGTCAGCTGAATCTTGAACAACTTCGGCTGCTGAGAACAGAGGGTCGGATTCCCATTGAAGCAAGCTCGATCCCATTTTCTTTATATGATCACAACCAAAATGATATAAACGTGGTAGAAATTTAAAAATCAAAAACTTTCGCTTTCCAAACAAATAGGAATCAACGACAAAATGAACTCTAAGCAATGATCGAGGAAATAAATGAAAGAAAAATGGAAAAGGGTATTTTTCTTTCAATGAAAATCGAATGAATTTGAAAGTGGAATTTCAAGTTATATAGAGATACATGTGAGTTTATTTACTTCTTTTCGGCTGTAAATTAAGAGTTTATTAGGGTTTTAGGGTTGCAGAGAAAATGGCGATCTTTTTTTTTTTTTCCTTTTGATAAGCGATGAATTGGTATTGCATATTATTAATAATAACAGGTTATTAAGCTGTAGATTTTACAGGAAAAGTTTGGGGCAAGCAATGAAAGAGAAAAGAAGAAGGCTACTATCTTGATGTAAAGGCGTTTTTCGTCTTTTCTGCCTTTTTGGTTCAAATTTCATCAAGAATTAGCATTTTGTTTTCCTTTTGTCTCTTTTACCGTCCAACAAATTAGTTGGTTTAAACAATCTTTGTTAACCCCTTACTTTTTACTTAATCAAACTAAAATTAAACTATTTTACCTAACACTTACATATATATATATATATAGAAATTCAGTTAATCAAAACCTATTAGTTGTAGATTCGAACATTTATTCATTAATTAATATACTTTTCATCTTAAAAAGAATAAAATTCAATTTTTTTTTACAAAATAAAAAAAAAAGGCTATTGACTGTAATTGCTACTCAAACATTTATTGAAATTCAAAGGAATATCACGGGAAATAGGCACGTTCTTACAACTTTATTCACATGGATTTGACGGATGTCACCCTCATCTTTTTCTTCTTTACTATCACAAAATTATATTAATACAATACAATAATATGATATATATATATATATATATGAATATTGGTAAAATTTTTGCTCGATGAAACTGGACATATTTATTTATTTTATTGTTGAATTTTTGTAAATATTTTTTATTGTAAATATTAATAAAATTTACCTAATTTATAAATAAAAATTTTAATTTCATTGAATGACATTTATTGAAAAATATACTTATTAATTTTAATAGTATTAAATAATTTATATATTTATATTATAATTTTTCAATTATATATTTATATATTGAAGTTTACATTTTAAAATGTTTTTATTTTATATTTAGCAATAAAGCTAAAAAAATAAATATTCATGTGCGTTGTGCGTGACAACTAATACTAACATAAATAAAATTACAAGTATTGAAAAAAAAATTTTGATTGACGAAAATGATTATATTTGCTTATTATATTTCTAAATTTATATTTAAATATTTTTTATGAATATTAAAAAAATTCTTTTAATTTGTAAATATAAATAAATTTTAATTATATCAAATGACTTTCTTTATCATAAATATTAATAAAATTTATCCAATTTAACTATTTCTATTAAAAATAATTATTTTTCTTAAGCATAATAGTATTAAATAAGTTTTAGATAAATAGTAAAAGATTTTAATTATATCCATTTGAAATATTAATTAATTTATAAAAAAATAAATATTAAATACTAGTGATATGAAGGTGAGAAATGTTTGCTCCCAACTCTCTTACTTGAAAATAAAAATAGGTCAAAAGATTTATAAGCACATATCTAATTTTTTAAACTTGACAGCCTTTGTCTTCCTTAAGGCAAGAACACATAGACAACTTCATGAAGGCAATCATCAAAGCATATTTACAGAGAGATTGCTTCCTGGCTGAGGCAATTTATGAAATTATATCCAAAGATTGATATCTATGTGGGCTTTGAGTAAGCTTTACAGGTCAATACTAACTTTTCAGCTCTTAATTTTGCAAGAGAACTGATCAAACTCATGCCAGAACAGAAAAAGAGTGAGATTCAGACTCCACTCACCAATCATTCTTGCAAAGTGCATAGACTAAACATCCTTATTGAATTCAGTAATGAAACCCAACATTCTTGACTTTAAAGCAAAAGAAGATATGCAGACAAGAAGCAGCAACTGAAAGCTACTGTTTACCTCAGTCCAAGCCTAATAAGAGGAAGTCTTTCATTAACAACCATCTGGAAATTTTGTTAGCTGATAAAAAGCAATAACAGGAAGTGCTTGCAAAAATTCATAAAACAGCAATTTCAGGTTTCGGTTAAGCCTAATACAAAAATTAGTAATTTCATGTGAAATTGAGACTTCCCTTCAACCTAAGTTCACACTTCAGAACAACAAACTATGATATTCTGCACCACTTTTGCATTCTTGACATTACTTTTACAAAGTCCTCTAAATCATTTACTTTCAACTTCCTCTAATTAAGCACAACTATAGACATTTTGGCATAAGATAGGGCGAGAACCAGTAGGACTTTCATTGCAGAGCAGCAACCCTTAATCCTTACTGACATAAAACATAAAGCTTCCTAAACCACTTAAGATAGCTCAAAAAGTAGGGATGAAGATTAAATCAAAACAGAAAATTTTCAGCTCCAAGTTGTTCAAATTATAAAATATAAGCAACTAATAACCCTCAGATCTTGCACCAAAAAGAAAAAACCCTCAGATCAAATATGCTGAACAAAAGATTAGCACCATAGTGTTTATTCAGTCATAAAACAGAAAAAAATAGTATACTATGGGAAAACAAATTTAGAAATGTCAGCAGCACTTTTTGCATAAGATCAGACCATCTGGTTATAAGATTTTGTCAAGTATTAAGCTTCATCTTAGGAAGGATGAATGAAGAATTCAGCTCATAACATTCCATTGCAAACCAATGAGGGAATATCAACAAACAATTGATCCTCTAGCTGCAAGATCCTATGACAAGTTCAATATTGCAGTGACAAGTCTAGTGACTCCTATCATCATATTTGCTAAGCACAGTCCAATTATATATCAAAAGCACATTCATCCTAAAATCCAGAATTGCGTTCCAGAGAAAGTAAATATACTGATCATTTTTGAAGCAATAAATAATACCACAGACAAACACAAGATAAGAGATTCCGATAAATATGCCATGGATCTCATCAAGAAAATGTGCTTTGTATTAAGGCAAAAGCAAAATATTACATTCAAACAAAGTACTTAACCATCTGAATTTCCTTCTGCTTAAAACCACACTTCTCATAAAACCCCTTGTTGTCAACACTGCAATCCAAAATAACCTTATAACACCCCATGGAACGAGCGTGATCCAAAAGAAACCCCACAATTTTCTTCCCCAACTGCAATCCTCTTGCATTCCCATCCACCACTATATCTTCAATATGCCCAACTTTACCACAGTTCCTTATAAACTTCTTCTCTATGAAAACGCTCCCTGTCGCAATAATTTTACCCGAAAAATCATCTTCGATTACACAAACAAGATGATCATCACCGTAAGTACTTATTTCCTTAAATCTATCTTCAAATTCTTTGTCAGAGACAGAATCACAAACAGTTAGTTGCTGTAACAGCTCTATAAATCCCTTGCTTTTGTCTGAAAGTTCCAGTTTTCGAACCTGAAAACGGTGTTCTTCATTTAATGAATTAGTGTTCTCCATTATCCTTTTCCAATTTTCTACATGGCAAAAAAAGAAAAAGTAATCTTTTAATTGAACTAATATTCAATATAAATAAAAAAAAAACCCAAGAAAAAGGGTTTAGCCAATCATACCTCTTCGAGTTCAATGCATTTGAAGTGTTCGATGAAGTTCTTGCCTAGACTGAGATGCAGCTGATGCTTTTATAGTAGTCTTGTGGTTTTCTAATAATTATAATTTGGTCCCTTGAGTTTTTATTAATTGTAATTATACCCTTTTCAAAGGTTGCAACTTGTAAACTTGAATGAACAGAGCTTCACAAGAAAGAAAGGGCGGCACGTGAGTTTTGCGTATTGTGTTTGGCACGGGCCTATATTATTCGTCTGTTCCCAAGAGAAAACCCCAGAAACAGGGAAAAACAGACCGAATCTTGAAGCCAGGAACATGATATGATTAAGTAGTAAATAAAAGATAGGAAAATCAATTTCCCATGTCGAGATCATTGATTCAACGCATATCTCCATTTTTCATAGCTCGAATTAAGCAAAACCACAAACTTCTAAGGTCTTCTTCGTATTCTCATTGTTATTCTTCTTCAGCTCTTCATGAGGCTTCTTCTGAATCTTCTGAATCTCCATCTCCTTCTCTCGATGCTATTCACATCGCTGACAATTGCGTCAAGGTAAAACTGTTTCTTGCTATGGGGTATTTCATGAATCTTTTGTTGGTCAATCTTTCATCTTTTCATTTTTATTTTTTTGCCATTTCTAAGTATTTTTTATGGAATTTGTTTTGTTTTAATTTTGGTAGTACTGCCTTGTTGGGTTTTTCCATATTAGTTGTTTTTGAGAGTGTTCTGTAATTTAACCGGGGGGAGGGGTTCGGGGTGGTACTGCTTTTCTGTTTGGGTGTTGGGAAAGTGCAGGAAAAGATCTAATTTCTTGAATTATCTTGATTCTTTTTGTGTAATATGTAGCTTATGGGAGAATATATGTAATTGGTGTAAAATTATTATTTTGGATCACAAGACACATTCATTCAGTTGCTTTATAATTCCTAATACACTTTCTACCCCACCCAATTACTCAACCCTCTTTTTTCTCCTTTCATCTAAAGTTGTCTAATTTTTGTTCAATCAGTATTTTCTTGTTATAAATTGATATTAAATATATTGCAAAAAAACTTGCCTTTTTTATTTCACTAAAGATTATTGAACGAATTGTATAAGATTCTGTAAGTAAATTGCAACATTTTTGGGATAGTATAGACCCAGTACCGTTTTCTCCATTGTGATGTGATATGATGAACAACCTTACTTCTTTCTTTCTTTGAATTATGTTTTTTATGGATGGTGATAAATATGCTGCCCAAATGGTTAGAAGATCTACATTTGGTTCTTGGGATCATTTTCTCATTGACATTGGGGATGCCTTACAGAGAATGAAAGAGTTGCAAGCCAGTGAAGAATCATCTGATGAAAAGATGCTTCGATTGAGTGTAGAAACTGGTGGATGTTCTGGGTTCCAGTACGTGTTCGATTTGGATGACAAGACCAATCCAGATGACAGGTTTTTTTCTCTCTTTTTTTCATTTGATGAGAAGTATGTTTATTCTTTCTCGCATGTTACTGTTGTAACCTTCTTTCTTTCTTCCTTTTTTTTTTTTGTATGGTATCTTATTTGCAGAGTTTTTGAGAGAGAAGGAGTAAAACTGGTAGTTGATAGTATCTCCTATGATTTTGTAAAAGGGGCAACCGTCGACTACGTTGACGAGTTGATTCGTTCCGCCTTCCTGGTAAGTCATGTTATCTTGTTGGTCTATAAATGCATCTGTAATGTTGTTTTAAGTCCTAGAACAGAAGTAATTTTCCTCTAGCTAAGTGATTCTTCTAAAAGATTGCTGATATGCGGTATCCCTAAGTGTGAATAATTGAGACCTAACATAATGTTCTTCATTAATAGTGGCATGAGAAAGTTAAATGTCCGGGCTTATATTCCCCTATCCTACCTATGTTAGCTCTAGGGCTAGCATAAAGAGAGATAAGCACTGTCCAGATGGCACTCATGTGACTGGAAGAACGGTTCTAGAATCCCTGTGATTAGATTTGTCTTTTATTTGGTTGGATTGGGGAAAGGTGGACTACTTGTCATCAAGTTTGCCCAGAGAAAGGCTTTGTTGTTCTGTACCTGAAGCTGACATACCCAAATTCTACATTTTGTTTTTATTATTTGGCTACCCATCCATGGAGGATGGGAATACCCAAATTCTACATATGATTTGGAACATTATCTAGTTCTCTTCTAGCAAATATTAACTCATTGTTGTGGATTTTGCCTGACATGACTGTTAGAAGGTCTTCCTGGTCAAATTCTAAATAGCTCTTGGATCTTGTCAACTTGTTTAATGGTTGCTATTTTGCCCTTCCAATTTTGCTTTAGTGTGATGTTACCTTTGTGGCTTAGATACTACCTTTGAAGTAAATTGTATCCAACACTCATTCTATAGCCCTTTGCTCATTCAGAAAAGTCTTTCCTGGTATGAGATGGGAACAAAATTATATGGAGTGACTTTGGGATATTGTAGGACTTATTGATTGACCCTTTAGGTGTGACTATAACCTTTATCCATAAATGAAATCTTGCACCTGCCTTAAAATGTTTCTCTGATCAATTTTAAGTTACAGCTAATGATTCTAACTATTAGTAAGATAACATAAACACTCTTATCAGTCCCTAGTTTTGTCTGCATTACTGCTTCATTATGTAAAGATTCTATTCACATTTTGTTCTACTATTGTCATATTCTTCAGCACAATATCATTGGTTGTAATCAAATGGTTCAAAAGGATTATGAGCCACAGGCAAAGTGCAGTGGTATGAATCCACAGAATTAGAGTTTATAATGCCATACCGAATAATTAGCTGCAGTGTGGTTTTATGTGAATGATCTTGATTCTAGTATATGTCTATTCTGTGTTGCCACCATTTTTTGGTGTGGTTTCAATAATTTCTTTACCTAGGATGATATGCCATTAGTGAGGGCTGCAGTAGAGGTGTCCATGGGGCCAGGCTGGGTAGCACCTGCCCGTTTAAATTAATTTTTTATTATTAAAATATTTTAAAAAATTATATTACTATCTTAAATATAGTTTAAAATTTAAAATTAAAATTAAATAAAAATTCTTTTATTAATACAATAATATCCTGGGCCGAGCCCCTGCCTATAAAATCTGATCCGGGGCCTGGCTTATGGACAGGTCTAGGCCGCAGAAGCTAAGTCCCAATTTCTTGTGCAGGTAACAACAAATCCTAGTGCAGTTGGAGGGTGCAGTTGTAAAAGTTCTTTCATGGTGAAACAGTAGGGTCTTTCAAGTTTACTGCCCATATTTCCGGTGAGGCTGAGAGTTTCAGCTGGTAGAATGAGTTACTTAATCAATCGTCTACCTGATTTTTTTTGCTCATATTGATTATTTGGATACAAACATTCTGCATATTTCATGTGTAACATCATAAATGTGGTGGGGGCACTGCTGCGTATCTGTTAATGAGGGTTACGTTAACAACTTTTATTACTTGTTTACACTCAAATGGATGCCCTGTCCACCCGGTTCACTTGAGTTGATTTGAGTCTTTTCCAAGCTACTATTTTGAAGGTGCTACACTTGATCTCGAGTTGAGCGGCCTATAAAATTGGTGAACAGAATATGTATGATTAGTTTCAATAATTTATAATTCCCATCATTTCTCTAATCCTGGCTGCTGCAAGGCTACGAGAGGACATGCAATTTTCACTGCTATGGGATAGCTACAATCACAATTTAAAGCAAAATGGTGGAATGGTAATACTGCCTTGTGCTTTAGTGCTAGTAAGTTGAGAGCATGCTCTTGGTTAATGACTAGCTCTTTTTCCCCATGCGTAGTTTCTGGTTTCCCGCAACCTCGAAAGTAAGAATAGAACCTATAGAACCTGCAAAGACCTCACAATCCCATGGCTTCAACTTGGTTCTTGCAGACTAATCAACACACATGGGCATTCTTGACTTCTTGCGCAAAAGTCTATCCTTCACTAAGCTGATCACAAGCGTCTGAAGTGCAGCTAGGCCAACAGACATAAGTGGACATTAGCACTAAAATGTAGCACCATTATGAATGATTAGGGCACAAGAAGTAAACCATACGATGAGCCAATAGAAAGGAAACTGACACCCAATAATCTACCAAATTAATCAAGATGTCTGTAATTGATAAATTGGAAACAAAAGAATCCAATAAAACAAAACCACAACATCAGCACCATTCCAGAGAATGTCTCTGTCTGGAGTACAAAGGTTTCTTGCTCATGCTTGCTCAAAAAACAATCCCCAGAAAGTAAATGAACTTCCCTAATAGACACGTTGTGGCCTCCCCATTGTGCTCTTCAGATGCAAGCACCTCACCTATGTGCACATAAAAATAAAAGCACAAAGTTAATGCCACAGAATCACTGGCTAAAACTTCGAACCTTTAAATATTCATATAGATAACAATATGCCTTAACAGCTCTTAGAACAAGGACAACGAACCAACAAAATATCTTAAAAGTGCCTAAGAATTCTGAAGTTCTGTATACTTCCAAACATGAATAAGTCAAGGATCAGGCACTTACATTTTGCCAATTCTTCTTCAACAATGAAACAAGGAAGTTGACACTGAGTTGCACATTCTGGAAGATCTGCTTCTCCTCCATACTGCAATTCCCCACAGCAACACCCATACAGAGAACCTTCTTAAGCTGGAATTTAACCATAGCTTTTGTCTCATTAACTTTTGACTCCAGAGATTCCTGATGCGTGACAAGTGTTGGGAACTTCCCTGCATCCATGTCCTCAGCATGTAAACATGATGCTGGAAATAAATTCTACAAGCACGCTTATCTCTAGCCTGTTCTTTCATAGCCATTATAACCAAAATAGGATAATAAAATAAAGCATGTTTCTAGTGCATGGACCTTAAAGGAAGGCCAATTACTAAAAAAACTCAAATCACTTCTCAAAAATGGTTTATGATCATGACAGATTTATACATATATAAGCGCACTAAAGCATTCATCTAACCAAACAGACCCACTGTTTCAACAAGTCAACCAAGTAGATGTTTCATAACAAATGTGCAGGCCAAAACAATCCACCATCAACAGAGAGAAGATTTTTTAGTATAAAATTTAACTATTGACCTTCTCATTACAATACAAAACCTTGTCCATGGAGCACAAGAATAGCAGCAAGCTACCGACCAGAAACTGTAATCCTATTCTTAAATCAACATAATTAAGAACGATTAAAAATGGAATTACTTGCCTGCCTTGTTGAGACCAGGTCCTAAAAGACGAGGAATCTGTTTGATGACAGCTTCAGATGCCAAAAAGGCATGGTATTTCTTGGCTAGCTTCTTAACAAGTTTCTTGTTCTTGTTAAGCTTCTTCAATGCTTCCACATCCATCCAGTCCAACCCTATTTTCTCTGCCTGGATCAAGCATACACGAAAACCGAAATGTAAACCACCAACAATAAAGCTTCAACTTCAAACAAAAACAATTATCACTCCGAGTAATGAAATAGCCGATTCTAGTTTCGTTTTAGTAACAAAATTAGGATACAGCATAAGTAGTAACTACCTCTTCAACGTGGAGAGCATCACCGAGCATACAAATTTTCATCTTAGGACGAGGAATGTGAGGAAGCTTAACGGCACCGCTGAAACGCTTATCCTTTTGGGGATCATAGTTCTTCAACCCAATCTGCAACTCAATTGTCTCGACAAACTTACGCTGCTTCTCCTTCGAGTCACCAACGATTGCGGAAATGGCTTCCCTAACTGCATCACTCTGAAGCTTACTGCAACAACGAATAAACCCTAAACGGGAATCAAAAAGTCATAGCAAATCATTTTTTTTAGCCTAAACAAAAAATTTCTGACCAAATGTTTTATCGTTAATATAATATCCGTCGATCTTTTGAAAATAAATAAATCAGATAAGCCATAGAAATCTGATACAAAAGAAGAAGAATGAATACCTCATAGTAACTTGTTCCTTGTTTGGCTCCTTGGCCAGGAATTCTACAATGTGAACAAAAAAATCAAATAAAAAAGTTGTTAATATAAAAAATAAAAATGAACATATCAAAATGAAGCAAGTTTAAGAAGGGAGGGTTTGTAGGAGACGGCGGGAGAACGAACCTGACTCGCTACTGAGTGATAGGGGAGATGCAAAGAGTAACTGGTGTAGGGTTTTAAGGACTGGACCGGCCGGCTCCATTTCAATAACCCGAAAAAAAGGGTCTTCATACAGGCCCGGTTCGTTCAAGAGTTAATTAATTTAGATGATGAATTTTTTTGATAGGTTATATTAATAATATAGAAGCACGTGTCTCAAATTTATTCTCCATCGTTAGTAAAATTTATTTTTCACTTTTAGCAAATTATAATAGCATAATATTTGATAAGTTTTTAAATTATTTAAAAATTTTAAATAAATTTTATTTTTTTTATTGCATTCTATTAATCCATGTATTTTTATTTGAAGCACTTATGATTAATAGTTAAATAAATATTATTATTTAAAATATTATTTATTATTTTATATTTGCTTGATATTTATATGTGTCATCATGTCATGTTATCATTGGTTGAGGGTTTAGGGTAACCTAATCCTTGAGACCAATGCAACTATGATGGAAAATGTGGGTTCGGTCATTCATGCTGAGATTATTCTACATTCCACAATTGCAAATTGCACGGGAATGCGTTAAGTGAGTCAGTATACATCGCAGCCATCCGTAGTTCCAAATAATCCAAAATTTCCAAAGATAATTCAACCAACTCATGGTTCAAAACAATTTGTTCCACCAAAACAAAGAACATTTTATTGCAACAATGAGCATTGCTACCTAACACATACATGCTCAGACCCAATCCTCAATAATAACTTCAAAATATCCAGAAAGGGCATGTTCACTTCATTCCTCAGATTGCCTCTGTCCTAGCACTGGAATGTCTTCATACCGTTTCTGTCGTACAGCAATAATATCAAAAGTACAAGTTACTAGAATGAAAAAATGCTTAAGCTCTGGAAGTAATTGATGATTGCAGATAAAGATCAGCAAACATGCAGTTGTCAAGCCACTAGGCAAACAATTTTGAGGGCACATTGTATTGGATAAGCTGACAAACTTTATAGAATTGTTTACCAAATTGCAGCACATCTTCCAACTTGCAAGAACAGAAGAAATTACAGCTTTACAGAAGGCTAGATGTGTCATCATTGTTTACGAAGAGAAGAGAGGAAAGAGAGCAAAGAAGCAAAAACAATACCATCATTTTTGGCTACAAAGGACAATGCACACAACTGACACAAAGATAATACCAATGCAACTAAAGAGCTATTTACTCAGACCTGAGGGTGAATGTGGGACATATGTATGTGGTCCAACAAGGGTACATTCAAATCTTTCTAAGTTTTTCTTCATATTTAAAGGGTCAGACCTTCATACACATGTCCGTCAGATATGCATCAGACACAAGTAATTCAAGGAAATGAAGAGTTGAAGAAATATAGCTTAAGAACTCAATATGAAATAGGTAAAGGTAACATTATTTGCCACTTGATAACAATATAAATACTGCAATAGTTCAACAGGCATTACAGCCTCCCACAGAATTGCAACATTTAGTTCATTAAAAAGCCAAATTTCAAAGTTTAAGATATTTGAGTTTACAAGGAAACTACAATCCTTCCCAGATTCTTTCTCCAGAAAGCCTATCCCAAACAATAAGTCCCACAGTTTGCAACTGGTTCTAAAGACACAAGCATCTAATGGCTCTAATGGAACTGTGGAAATTTAATGATGGTTGTCAAACAAAAATTGGCAATTACCTAAAGACTACAGATACTTTAAAATTCACAATGGAATGCACTCGGTTACAGAAAACCAATAAATGAGAGGCACATCAGGCAACCTAAATTGCTAATAACAGTTTAAACAACCTGTCACTACCAACTCCACAATGCTGTCAAATACAAATCATCCTGTTAATGTGCAAAGTAATAATGAATTGATTAACAAATTTACTGCTAATATTCCAAATAAATCCATATATATTTTAGCTGCATATGCTATAAAAGGCATGGAGAAACTGATCTGTAAGGTTAAAAATTTTACCCCAACATTGTTATATTCCCAGAGCTTATGAACTCCATAATCCACAGCCTGCAAAAGTCAAATCAATTACAATAAGAATCTTCACCATTCTATCTCATTAGAGCAAAACTCATAAAAAACAGCCAATATCTAAACATTTTTAGAAACTCGCCATCTAGAATCAAAACAACATAATCAACAAAAATTAACAATCCTACCAAAAAATCCCAATCGGTAAATAAACAAACCCTAACCTTTTCTTAAATCAACAATCAAATTTAATCGAAACAACGGATCAAAAAAGGAAATAAAGAGAATCAATGCAAAAAAAGGATTAAAGTTTACCCGTTCTCCCAGGAAAGCGCCGGCGATGATGAAGGTGACGTAGACGGAGTTGCGGCGCATGATGACTCTGTAGAGACCTTCGAAAAGGCCTCCTTGATTTCTCCTTCGAGCTGCGTAATCCATGGCGGTTCGCTAAGGTAGTGGGAGTCTCTCTTACTGGGATCTGCGATTAGGGTTTGCAGAGAATCTGGATGCGAAGAAATGGGGAATTTTATTTGGAATGATGAACTTTTGAGAAGAGTTACCGGGTCGAACCGAATGATAGATTTAGACTTGCTGGCTGGGCCATCGGTCCAACGGGTTCATCCCTTAGGAAATTTGTTTTTGGTTACTTCACTTTTTAAAAATTTTTATTTTAATCATTTAATTTAAAAAATAATATTTTGATTATAAAACGTTTATAAATATTATTATTTAACTACTCAACCATTAAATTTGACATTTGGCCACTTGTAAACAAGAGTAATACAAAGGCATCCTTTGAATATAATCAAAGCATAAGTTTATCATATTTATAATTTTTTTATATATATTTTATACTATACATTGAAAAACACATAATCTTCTCCTATCTTCATAAATCTCATTCCATTTATTCTAGAGTTTAAATTTAAAACCTCCAGAATAAAATTTCAAGTCTTGGTCACTAAGGTGTTCCTTTTGTAAGCAAATTTGTTAATAAATAAAGACTCTGGCATTGTAAATACCCTAAATCTATACTATTTATTTGTAAAAATCTAAACCATTACTTTTGTTCAAAACTTAGTCGAAAATGTTGGTTTTTATTTGATAATATAAGTATGGCTCAATTCTCCATGATTTTTGTTAAGGAGGACATGACCACCCAAACATTTCCATTCTACCTATGATCTTTTAGGATTCTCTTTTAAATATATAATATATATTAGATTGAGCTACTTTTAATTTTGTCTATCAATCTTTTTCTTTATTAGATTTCTGATTTGAATGTGGAGAATTTTAGTTGTTTTGCTTTTGTACATGGAACTAAGGGCTGGTTTTTTCACTTGTCAATAAGTTAAGTGCAAGGATGATAATTTTATATTGGTCTTTAATTTTTGTAAATGATAGCAAGGGACTGGGTTTGCAAGAAGCATTGTGTATGAGTTCAAAAGGGGATTAGGTGTATACCTCTTGTCAACAGGGGTGGCCAGCAACCTAGTGATGTATTGTAGAAGAGAGGGATTTTTGTTCCTTTCATTAATGGAAGTTCTCATCTATTACTTATATATAAAAGGGAGGTCCAAAAAGAGCCCCACGTTTGGCCACTTATTTGTTCTCTTTGAGTGACATGTTAGGCTTTCTTTTTGTGCCACATGGACAAAGGTTAGAAGGGAGTTTAGGTTGTCTTTTATGCCATTGCTTCTATCTGTTGGGTTACTTTTTCACAGGGTTCAAGGCTTGTTTCAGAGATGAGCTGCTCGAAAGCCATGTTGGGTTGAACACCTATTTCAGAAGTGGATCCTTTATAGGTCACATGGTTTCACTTGTATCGTTTAATTTTGAGATGCATTTGGTGTTTTATAATTTTTTTAGAGTGTTTTCACTTCGATATCATCATCGTAGACTGCTTGGGGAAACGCTTTGAACCATTGGTTCATGCATTTTATCTGAAAATATATTGACATTTATGGCCTGTGTTATGTTCAAAAAGCCAGATGCATTTGTGGAGTGAAGAGCATTGTTTTTTATCTTTCTTTTGCTGATTCTTTAATTTGGAGGGATGCTTCACACTTCTCATTAAGAGTGATTCATGCAATGTGGTGAAATGGACTAAACATCTGGACTTGACATCATGGACAATGAGAAAATTGGTTATGCAAATAGTGAGACTAAAGAAAGAAAGTGGAGGGTTAGGAGACACAGCATATCAAAAGAGGCAGATTAGAGAGCAGACACTTTAGCAAAGGAAGGTGTACAGCAACAGTAAGAATTCTTGAGAACCTTCACGTAAATCCTTGAACCATTTAATCTCTGCAAGGAGTGTATTCTAGTGATGCTGTTATCATGTTGAAAAGGATGAAAGTCAGCTAGAAAGGTTGAGATAATTATGTTGGTTTGAGAAAATTCTTGAGACATTTTTTTTTTACCAAATAATGCAGAAACAAAAAAAAAATATTTTACATTTTTTAGCTTGTTAACATTCTTGAAAACTTTTAGGCAATAATTCAACTTTCATGCCATGATAATTGGTAAGAATGATTTATTTAGTTATTTTAATTTTAATTTTTTTTCTTTTTTTAATAATTTTTACTTAGGATTTATCTATTTGTTGTTGAAAGCAATTTGATTAAGCATCTAAGGTTAGTTATTACTTGTTTATTTAGGCATTGCTTGATTGTTTTCCTACAAATTAGTTATGTTCTTTTTTTTGCTTAAATTTTTATGAACAATTAAGTTTTTAATTTGGGGATTACTTTCTCATTCAATTGTTTATTAATATTGAATTTAATTTTTGTAAGTAATTTGAGAGCATTGCTTCTCTATTGAATTGTTTATTGATAGTCCTTTATATTTTTTAAGAGATTGCTTCCCATTGAAATTTTTATTATTATATTTGTTAATTTTTATTTATTTAAAACTTTATCTAGAAATTGAGATTATTGTTATTATTAAATTATTTATGATTATACAAGTTAGTTCCTTTGAGTAAATTATTAAGATTGATTCCTTTGAATAATTTTCAAGATTTACTTGTATAATTTTTATATAAATTTTTTTTGTCTAAGTTATTTTATATTATTATCAAATATTAAATTTCTACTATAATTGTTTAATTTATAAATTTTTTTTTTTTGTTTTTCGTTCCTCAAACATAAAATCTTAGCTCTGTCACTGGTGATACTCATAAATGCCAATGGAATGCAAGATACTCGGAATGGGAGATAAGAGTACAAAATGAAATTTCTTAATATATTGGATAATTAAAAAACTTCTCTCTAAATTTTAAATATATTAATTTAACAATTTCAGCATATCTAACCATTCAACTAAAATTTTTAACTTGTGAGATATTTGAAAATATTTTCCAAAAAAAAAAGTATTGATAGGGATGTTCATTTTCACATATTAGGTGTGTGGCATGTGGACATGAATTTTTTTTTCTTTAAATCAAATTAATAAAAATTTATTAAAAATTGGAATGAAGTTAGCACACCATTAATACAAAGTGAATAAAAGGGCAAATTATGCAATAAGGTCATTATTTTTGACCTTACTAAAAAGTCAATTAATAAAGACCATCAGATCTATAAGATTAAATTACAGTTATTGATTTAAAATTTATAAAGAAACTGATAAACTAATGCAACTGGTAAATAAAAAATCTTCTTTTTGATGGACTCTTTTTATGCCTTATTAATAGAAATCATTTATTTACATTTCTTTTATTATTGGTTGAAATTTCAT